CGACACACACACACACACACACACACACACACACACACACACACACACACACACACACACCCCTTACCTTGCACTCCTCCTCTCATGGTGCATTTCTGCAAAGCGGTCTCCATGCAAACCCCGCCTTGACTCCCCTGTTGTGGTTTGGTTCTAACACCAATTAAGGGGGGGGGCAAGGTGGGGAGCGCAAAGCTGAACATTCCATCCTGGCCCTATCTCCCGGCGGGCCCCCGGCGAGCGGGGCAGAGCTGAGGGCCCTGAGATGAGAGACACATTCTGGGTCCATAGATCTGCCTTTTGGACGGGGGGCTAATAACTGCCCAGGGACCAGGCAAAGAGCGCGCCTGGGTTGAGAGAGTTATCAGCTGTTCTGTGCGTGGCAGACAACGGAAACCAATGCCTCGGAGCCGAAAAGGGCTGAGTAGATTGCTCAAATGCAGGGTTCCCGGGGATCATAAAACCTCCGAGTCCATTACATTTAAAATGAGTTTCCGCTATGAATCCATTCGCGTCCCCCCCTCCCGCCCCGCTTAAAAAGCACAGCGCGCATTTGATTCAATATTGAGCCATTAAGCAATTGCTTTCCCAAGTCATTTAACAGCAGCTCTTATGGATAAATAAACAAAAAAGGCTGTAAACCAATTACAGTGCGGAGAGTGAAAAAGGGATTTTATTAGCAGGAATTACTGATAGACACGGCTGCTACTCGGCTCCTCTCCCCCTACCCGAGCCTCTCCCCCAGCAAGAAAGCCCAGGCGCTATTTTAGAGCGGAATGCAAGAAGCAAGCTGCAGGCTTTTAGTCTTCCACATCGAGTGACATTATGATTAGTCTCGAAAGAAACGTCTCCTCCGGTGGGTCTCTTCCTTGGCGGGTTTAGGTAGAAGCGGGATTGTCTGGTGTGAAAAGCCCAAGTTTCTGAACCACTTAATTTCGCACTTTTAGGGGCGGGGCCTGCCAACACTTCCCCAGGTGGGTACAACTTTGGTAAAGGGGAGCCGCTCTGTTGCAGTTCGTGGCAGGCTGCTCACCAACTGCGGGACCAGAGCCCTGGTGGGTTTGGCAGCTTTGGACTTGTAGTTCCCAGAATTGAGCTGGCGACACAAATTTCAGCAGAAACCCCCTTTGCTGAGCTCATGCTCTGGTGGCCAGCTCTCTCCCAGCAGCAGGCCATAGTCTGCCACTGGCTTTTAAGCAGAGCTCCCCAGTGACACCAATGGCAAGGGCAGACTGGTGCATCTTCGCCTCAAGTAGGCGAAGGTGGCTTCTCGCACATAAACACACTTCTGGGTCAGCTCCTAGGATGACCAGATGTTCCAATTTTATAGGGACAGTCCCGATTTTGGGTCTTTTTCTTATATAGGCTCCTATTACCCCCCACCCCCTGTCCCGATTTTTCACACTTGCTGTCTGGTCACCCTAGCTCCTACCTCCATCGTCGTTAATGGAGTTTTACCTTTGATATCAGCGGGACGAGGATGGTCCCTTTGCGTGGTAAAGCTGCCACTCAAAGTCACTTCTAAACACACACGCCCATCCCCTTCCCCAAATCCCAGTCCTATTAGCCGGACACCCATCGCCGTGGTAGCTGCTCAGAATGACCGTTTCTGTGCAGCGCTGACAAACAGCCCTGACTCTGGGAAAAACCAATGATGGTTTCACTTGGGCCATTCTTCCGCCCCGAAGTTAGTGTGCAGAGCAAGCGAGGCCACGCGCACAGCCACAGTGGCGTGCACAGAAAGCGAAGGCTGGCAAGTCAAGTCAGGGCAATAAAAACCAAAGCAAATGGATTCATCGCCAGGTAGTACCATTAACCACCGGTGTCTTAATGCGATACTCTCCCTGTAACGAGCATTTCTAAGCAGAACAAACAACCTCCCTTAAAAGTAAATGAATTTCATATAATTTACAGCTAATTCTCCTTAATTCTGCTTTCATGAGCAGGCGATAAGGGAATGTTGCGCTGGTTAACAACAACCCGGCAAACTGAAGTTCAGGAAAAGGTCCCGGTTTTATTTCCAGCGGCAGTATCCTGGCCCTGTCTGACTCCGGTGGAAGTCCAGAGCAAAGCTCTCGCTGATTTCAAGCAGGATCACGTCGCTGATCCTAGCACGTTGGCAATCGCGCGCATCCCTCTGTTCTCCCGAGTCCCAGAATGAAGAGGAGAAGGGAGATGAGCTAGGTTTACACACAGGGTGACTGCAGATACCCTCCTGCCAGGGAAACAGCGACATTTTCTTACCTTCCCATGATCAGAGGGTGGGAGGTTCTAATAAGACCCGTGGCTCTGGAATTAAGCACATTTGAGGAGAAGCAGAACCTCTGAGTCACTTGGGCTCGGGACAAATCTTACAGAAACAGCTTGCCAGGTGAGGATCTGAATGCACGCTCCGGAGGCACATTGTACACTCATGCTGCATCCAGAACGCCCATTGAAATGAATGAGAAACCTAGATTGATGCGAAATAATGTAGAATGTTGACTAGCTTAGCAGTCATCTCCTACAAGTACCTAGGTAGGGGGAATGTATCTAATACTAGGGGACTCTTAATTTAGCAGCTCAAAGCAGAGCAAGATCAAGTGCCTAGAAGTTGAAGCCGGGGGAGGGGGGGGGGGAAGTCAAACCGGAAATAAGTGGCACATTAGACCACTGGTACGGATTACTGAAGGATGTGGTAACTTCTCCCTCACTTGGAGTCTTTATACCAAGACTGGATGTCTTTCGAAAAGATATGATCTAGTGCAACTAGAAGTTATGGGCTTCACCTAAGACAGAGGCCTTTCTGGCTACAAAATGTAGCTCTGAGCACTTCAGTAAAAGCCATACACAGTTTGGGCACATGTATGAGTTAAACACTCGCCAGGTTTGGCGGAAGAGTGGGCATGGAAACCTGACATTTAAATTATGTACTACCTTTGATCCTTGTGCATGGCTCCGATAAACATCAAATGGAGTGCCAGCACAGACTGAGAGCAACACAGAGATCCAGGTTGTATATTACTGTGGCAAATAGGAGTACCCCTTTGAGGAACCATCACTTTCTATGTATCCTTACTCACATGAAATTTGCTGTAAGGACCTCTTAGTAAGACACTTCTCTATTCCAAGACAACAAAACAAAACCTAAATTAAAATTCAATCAAGGTTAAGAGTATATATCAGTATCTTAAAGCTAAAAAAATTACATAATTATATAATTATCTCAAAATCAAGCTTTACAAACCCAGAATTTCAGAATTATAGGTATACTTAAAAATAATGCAAACATGTGACATCATGCAATAATCACATGATTATAATTAAGGCATGTATGTGGT